TTGGGTACCAGAATTGATGCAGATCAATAATAAACTCCAAAATATTTCTAGTGCATTTTGAAGCATAAAGCTGTAATATATTATCTTAACAGCTCCTCAGGAAAGGATTCAGATCTCATTCCCCATTACTAATAATCCTTTATAGTTAACTGATAGGCAGGCTCTAGATTAAATTTTACTGCTAGCTCATGGTCTTTAATGGTCATTTTTCCATGTGTTAATCCCATTTTGAAAAACATATTAATGTACACATTTGTTCAATTTGATTTGTTTAGACTCAGAATGGCTCATACAGTTTTTCCTAATATTAATAATCCTGTATTTAGCATATATAGTCTATGTCCATTAATTGTGAATAGCTCTCAAATCTAAATTATAAAAAATAGAAATACACCTCAGGCACTATAAATAAGTCTGAATAATTGAAAATTGCCCCCGTATTTGATATTCTTCCAGAAGTCCCTTAAAACCTGACTATGTCAGCAGGTCTATGCAGTTTGCTATAGGCACCAAACTTGAAATCAGGAGACTGAGCCTAGAACTAGGCGTGAAAGCAGGCTGAGTGACTTTTGTACTCTCAGTCTAAGCCTCACAGGGTTGTTGTTACTGTGTGGAAAATAGGAGGAAGAAGTGTGAGTTATGTTCACTACCTCAAATTAGTTATAAAAACAGTAAAGGTGCGAAGTAAATAAAATGATATTTCCTTGTTTTTTTCATATGGTTCTATCTTTGATGAGTTTATAGAAAACATTGTAATCCTACTTCTTGTCTCTTCCAATGGTTCTCTGCTGTTAACTTCCTTCCTTAGATCTTTGTCCCTCTTGGCTTTGGCATCTCATATTGGCAAATTTCATTATGGTCTGACATCCAGTTTCTTTCTTCTGTTTCTCACTCTCTGGTATTCTCTTTTCATATTCATTCTTAATAACTATTTTGATCTCATTCCACAGTTCCTTTGTTCCTCCTCCTATCAGTGAGATCCAAGACTTCAAAGTGATTCCTCAGGAATCTTCTTGAAAATGATGGATGTACATTAAGATCATATTGTGGAACTGTTTATTTTCATAATTTATATTTCTTCTGCTTTAATTTGACTTGGAACTTGCACACAAGTATTTGTGATATGTTCTATACTGATCTCCTGGCCATGTTTTCCTATTATACAATAACTGAACTCTTCTATCTCCTTTACCAATAATAAGGTCAGTTTGGTTAGGGAGATATCCATTTATATAAATGTTTTGATTGTCTGAAGATAGTGTTAACAATGAGTCATTCTCCTGCCTCATTTCTGTTTCCTAGACTGTACAATCCAAATGTCATGGTTCCAACAGATGAATCTCTTCAAAAGAACCTCGAGGCATTGTTTTCCTTAAAGAATCTTTTATTTGAGAAACAAAGTATCGGCACTACATAGTTGAAGCCAAAAACTGAATTCCCCTCCCCTGGCACAAGGTAGCAAAGCACAATTCCCTCTTCCAATTAACGGTCATAAATCACATTCCCCAATTAACTTGAAACACTACAAGCACCACATCTTGCTTGTACTTTCTGTCAAGTTTAGATTGAAGTTGATCATAAAACCTTCTCTACTTCTGCACCAGTAATTGGAGCATAATCTTATTACTTGATCATTGGTGGCATTATATCCAAATACTGTCTTTGTTGTATCTTTTCTTCATTTTTGCTGTGTGTGTATGTGTCCAGTTTCAGTCCATTTCAATTTACTAAGATATCAACATGGAGTCGATTTGTTTTATCTTTCATTGTGTCAGGTGTTCCCATGTACATGTTTCTTGAATTCACATACGTGTGATGGGTGGCTATTTGATTGATAAATAAATAAATAAAATTCTATGTTCCCATTGTAATTCTGTTTTGCAGCTTGAGATTTTCTTTTCCTGAAGGGCAAGTTCAGCAAATAGATGTCTGAAGGGCTTTATTCTAGTTATGACACAACTAGAATACCATTAGTACTATGAAAGATCCTCAGCAATTCTTCAGTGCTCCTAACTTGAGGAGCCAAACATCCTGCACTAAATCATTTTATTTTGTCCATCCATGTGATTTTCTAGGCAAAAAACAGTAGTTTGCCATAGCCTTCTTCCATGCAGTAAAAATAATGCCTTTGCTTTTCTCACTAAAGTAATAATCTGCCTCTAACATCTTCCTGTATCACAGACCCCAATATAGGTACCTGTTTGCTTTAGGTAGGCAGCTGAGGTGACCTTCATGCCTTTGGTGATCCTGCTAGAATATAATCTTGACATAAGTACCCAGCATTCTTTATTCATCCCTCCCAGGACATGTACACAAACTTTCACACTGAGGGAGTATAATGGGACCGGAAAGGCGTTCGCTGTGCCTGTTCCCTATTCCTATCTTGCAACCTCTGACTTGCTGTCAACTCATTATGTTATAATTTCATATGTCCAGATTATATTAGATCATGAATTAAACCCTAAGTTCATGCCATCCCCTATATTCTAAGCCTCACCAAGTGATGGAAAACATCTGCTAATTATAGCAGTGCTGTGATTAGCAAGTGGTTTTGGTAAATAGACTTTTGGATTTAACTTCACCGTTTCTTCATGCTTCCTCATCAGTACACTGTAAGAGCCCTAAACTAGCAAGTAAATCTATTCCTAAAATCTGCTATTTCCCGGATCACTGGACAATTGATTGACAGGCTCAGATATTTGCAGGTTTGAAACATATATATTTTCCTGCTGTACCACCATGTTCTCAAGCTGTTGGGCAACTGAATGACTGAAGGATGCCTTATTATAAGTTACAGGAGAGATGAAGGCAGTGCCATAAAGACATGGCAGAAAAAAATGGAAGTTGTCAACAGTGTCCTGTGTTTTATGCAGTAGAGATAGACCTACAGTGAGGGGAAAAATTATTTGATCCCCTGCCAATTTTGTACGTTTGCCCACTGACAAAGAAATGATCAGTCTATAATTTTAATGGTAAGTTTATTTTAACAGTGAGAGACAGAATAACAACAAAAAGATCCAGAAAAATGCATTTCAAAAAAGTTATAAATTGATTTGCATTTTAATGAGTGAAATAAGTATTTGACCCCTTCGCAAAACACGACTTAGTACTTGGTGGCAAAACCCTTGTTGGCAATCACAGAGGTCAGGCATTTCTTGTAGTTGACCACCAGGTTTGCACATATCTCAGGAGGGATTTTGTCCCACTCCTCTTTGCAGATCCTCTCTAAGTCATTAAGGTTTCGAGGCTGACGTTTGGCTCCCTTCACAGATTTTCTATGGGATTAAGGTCTGGAGACTGGCTAGGCCACTTCAGGACCTTAATGTGCTTCTTCTTGAGCAACTCCTTTGTTGCCTTGGCTGTGTGTTTTGGGTCATTGCCATGCTGGAATACCCATCCCCGACCCATTTTCAATGCCCTGGCTAAGGGAAGGATATTCTCAACCAAGATTTGACAGTACATGGCCCCGTCCATCGTCCCTTTGTACGGTGAAGTCCCCTTACAGGAAAACACCCCCAAAGCATGTTTGCACCTCCATGTTTGACAGTGAGGATGGTGTTCTTGGGGGTCATAGGCAGCATTCCTCCTCCTCCTAACACAGTGAGTTGAGTTGATGCCAAAGAGCTCAATTTTGGTCTCATCTGACCACAATGCTTTCACCCAGTTGTCCTCTGAATCATTCGGATGTTCATTGGCAAACTTCAGACGGGCCTGTACATGTGTTTTCTTGAGCAGGGGGACCTTGCGGGCACTGCAAGATTTTAGTCCTTAATGACGTAGTGTGTTACCAATTGTTTTGTTGGTGACTATGGTCCCAGCTGCCTTGAGATCATTGACAAGATCCTCCCGTGTAATTCTGGGCTGATTCCTCACTGTTCTCATGATCACCGAAACTCCACAATGTAAGATCTTGCATGGAGCCCCAGATCGAGGGAGATTGACAGTTATTTTGTGTTTCTTCTATTTGCAAATAATCGCACCAATTATTGTCACTTTCTCACCAAGCTGCTTGGTGATAGTCTTGTAGCCCATTCCAGCCTTGTGTAGGTCTACAATCTTGTCCCTGACATCCTTGGACAGCTCTTTGGTCTTGGCCATGGTGGAGAGTTTGGAATCTGATTGATTGCTTCTGTGGACAGGTGTCTTTTATACAGGTAATGAGCTGAGATTAGGAACACTCCCTTTAAGAGAGTGCTCCTAATCTCAGCTCATTACCTGTATAAAAGACACCTGGGAGCAGAAATCTTGCTGATTGATAGGGGATCAAATACTTATTTCACTAATTAAAATGCAAATCAATTTATAACCTTTTTGAAATGCGTTTTTCTGGATTTTTTTGTTATTCTGTCTCTCACTGTTAACATACACTACTATTAAAATTATAGACTGATCATTTCTTTGTCAGTGGGCAAACATACAAAATCAGCAGGGGATCAAATATACTCCTTTCCACTTCTTGAAGGCAAATGTGGCATATCGCTGTTTCAGAATGCATCTGACCAGCATCCAATACAGAATACTAGGGTAGTTTCCTCCTCCCCCTCTTCTCCTAATATTGAATTTCGCTGTTGCTATCGCAAGAGAGAGGAAAGGAACTAATGGGGGTAAATTGGAATTGACAGCAGCAGGATTTGAAGAGCCCTGGACGGAATGCGGAGTAATATTCCGAAATGCTAAATGAAGCGCGCCTCAGTCCTGGCAACCGGCCTGCTGTGCGTATGCCCAAAGACTTATGGAGCCAACTCAAGAACGTTTCTTCCAGGCGGTCACAACTTGGCATCAAGCCGAAAGAATCCGGGCGAATCGGCCTGCTTGTTTCGCGCGCTGTTTGGCTGCCTGCAGGACTCTTGGGCAGGGGTAGGCCGAGGTGGAGAAGAGGGGAGGGCTAGCAGGGCAAGTCAGTCTCTTCTCACTGGACTGGACACCGCCTGTGTCAGTCAAATAAGGTCCCGCCCCACCCCTCCTGGCTCTTCGCCCCTCCAGTTTGGCTCAAGCAGCCGATGTCAGTCGTAGCAGCGGGTTTTGCGGCTACCGGAGAGAGACTGGTTGGCTGCCGTCGCTTCGTAAGAATAAGGCAGCGCTTGGTAAAACTTGCCCCCTGTCCCTTCTGCCAGTCGGCTTGCTGCTCCCTGAGGCCGCTGTCGCTGCCGACTGGGCGCTTTATTCGCTCGACTTAAACTCTTAAAGTTGGGTCTCGTCGGTGCTGTCCTCCCCTCGTGCTTATTTCCTTGCTCTGCTTCTTTCGAGTAGGAGATGGGCATCTTCTCCCTGCTGCTTCTGCTGCCTTTGGTATCCAGCTTGGATTTCCGCTACCACCACACCAACGAGCTGGAAGCTTTTCTGAAGGAGATGCAGAAGAATTACCCTGCCATCACTCACTTGTACAGCATTGGCAAGTCAGTACAAGGTAAGGCTGGGTGGAGTGGACCTTAGGCTGTTTCTCTCCAGCCTGTCTCCAGCTTGTTTGCCCAGCATAGAATTTAGCATTAGCAAAAGAAAAGAAAAGAAAAAAGACAGTATCACCCAGAGGTCTGGTCTAAGCACCATTGCCTGGAATACAGTGCCACTGAAACCAGTGTGCAGCCACTCCAGATACATTGGGCTACGCTTCCTACCACCTCTAGTTATTCCTGAAGGTCTAAGGATTATCATGGGAGAGTGCCCTCATCTAGCTGGAGGGTGTAAGAGTTTGAAAACGGCTGCAATATCTCCACTTCAGGGAAAGAAGACAGCTGTTACTTTTCAAACGTAGCATTTTATAAGGCACCCAACATGTCATCCTCTGTCATAGGTAATCTTCCCAGCTTTTTTTCTTCATCCCCCTCTCCGATTAAAAAGGAAATAAGTGCACTAATGTTATCTGGAGTGGCTGCATATTTGTATTTATGTACTGCCCAGAATCGTTTGATACTGAGATGGGCAGCATATAAATTTAATAAATAAGTTCTTAAATAAATAAAATCTATTTGTAGCTTCCATCAAGTCTTAGTTCCTAATATGGATTTAGTTATGTTTCAGTTGTTTCCAATGAATATATTATTTATATATTAGTTTTTTGAATCTTTCATAAAAAATACCCAATATTCTGAAATTTTCATCTCCCAATCAATCTGTTGCCTTTGCAATTAATTGCTCTAGGCTCATAGCTACCTGAGTATAAATGAGTGATTTTGCTAGATTTATAAATAGGGAAGGAAGGTTAAGCTTCATCTACCTGAATACTGCAGGCTTTCCATTCTTCCAAATAATGCTCTTGTTTTTCCCAAAAACAGTTTCGAGAATTATATTATACTTTATTCCTTTCAGTAAATGTCAAACAGTGCTATAAAGGATAATAATAATAATAATAATAATAATAATAATAATAATAATAATAATAATAATAATAATAATAATAATAATAATAATAATAATAATAATAATAATAATAAAGTTGGAAGGGACCTTGGAGGTCATCTAGTCCAACCCCCTGCTCAGGCAGAAACCCTATACCATTTCAGACAAATGGCTGTCCAGTCTCTTCTTAAAAACTTCCTGTTTTGGAGCATTCACCGCTTCTGGAGGCAGGTTGTTCCACTGGTTAATTGTTCTAACTGTCAGGAAGTTTCTCCTTAGTTCTAGGTTGCTTCTCTCCTTGATTAGTTTCCATTGGTTGCTTCTCATCCTGCCTTCAGGCGCTTTGGAGAATAGCTTGACTCCCTCTTCTTTGTGGCAGCCCCTGAGATATTGGAACACTGCTATCATGTCCCCCCTCATCCTTCTCTTCATTAAACTAGACATACCCAATTCCAGCAACCGTTTCTTATATGTTTTAGCCTCCAGTCCTCTAATCATGATTACTCATCAGGATCCTTTCAAATAACGTACTGGATTTTAAGTAGAATGAATGGTGGATGTAAAAAATAAAGTAAGCCTAGCTTGTGACACACTTCATACTCTGCCTAATGATTTACAAAAGGCATCGGGTTGATAGATGCGGGAAATTCAGCCTGCTTAACTTCCTCTGTAAATACTGTTAAAAGCTCCAAATCATTTTAATAGGGGATTGAAATTATCTCCCAATAATATAGGTTTAAACAGAAATCTGAAGTGCTACTTCAGTTTTTTATCTCAGACTTGGTCCAGTGCAGAGATCGAGTGAACCAGTAAAAATGTTTTAAAAGGGAGTTGTTTGTTTCAGCTACTTTGGGAAAAATGGTTTGTGCAAATCTTCCAAATGTTTCCAAGTGTTCAAACAAGGATTTATTTTAATATTAGTTGCATAGTACAATTGATCTTTTAAACATTTGCAGTCCTCTGTTGTCTCTCACTAAGCCTTATTGATCTGACTTCTTGTTTATCTTTTTTTTTTTGCAGATTTCTTGTTCATATATTTTTTAAACTTAGTTCTCTTCAATAAAATTATTTAGTTATTATTAATGATTCCTTTAGAAATGAATAAAATTTTTATATTTTTTAATTTAAAATGTTTTGGTTTAAATAAAAGAAAAAGAAAACATTGGGCTTTAATTCATCTGAATAACTGCCTACGTTTAAATCTCAGATTCAATGCCATGACAATGAATTAAAGATAAGACAATTTATCCTAGCTCTCCATTGTTTATTTGTGTTATTATTTTACAACTATGTGCATACATTCTGTATCTATGTGTATGTAAAATTCTTTTCCACTTAAAGGTAGAGACCTCTGGGTTCTTGCTCTGGGAAGGTCTCCAACCCAGCATAAGATTGGCATACCAGAGTTCAAGTATGTTGGTAATATGCATGGGAATGAGGTACGTCTATAACTTTAGTTGTTGTGGTTTCCTTACAGCACTGTTTATAGGAAGCACCCAAATTATATACATGTGGGAAAATTTTAATCTTTTATCTGAGCAGCCCCCCAAAAAAAGACTGACATGTTCTTTTTTCCCCAAAGATTGTACAAAGTTATAAAACGCTACGAGAGAGATTTGCTAAATGCTACATGTTTTCCTTAATTGCATGAAGCTCAAAGAGTTATATTTTGCTATTAATAATCAGTCAATTAGGCCCAAGAACATAAGAATATATTAAGCACAGAATGTAAGGTGAAAGGGAAGTATTCACTTATTTATTTGTTTGTATGTTTCTATTTTGATGTCACCCAACTCTAAAATGACTCTGAGCAGCTCACAATATAAGAACTAAATACAAGTTAGTAAAAATACAATAAAGGAAAGTGGAAATTAAAGTGGAATTAACAGAAAAGAAATCCAGACCACTTGCATCAAAACATATGAATATCTCTAAGAGAGTCATATCTAAAGAATAAAATTCCTATCAATCCACTATATGTCATAGGTGGACTATTCAGTTGATCCCAGTGCCATGCAGAAGTCTGTGGCATCATGATGTCCATAGCAGGTACCTACCTGCATGTTTTGGGACTATAGTTGCTATGACAGAACATGGAGGTTGAAGTCAGCCAAGGAAATTATAACAAGGTGACATTCAGGATTTGCAGAGAGATGCTGGTAGTTGATACAGTAGCAGCAACCAAAGGTCCTCATTGTGGCACAATTCCATTCAAAGAAACTAACCACCTCTGGAACAAGTGCTTGGTTGTTGTGAGTGTCTTTATGATGTCACAGCTAATGAAGGCCCTGATACACAGGTGGCCAACTTTTTCTTGGATTTCATCTCCATCATGCCTGATTTAATAAACGATATCAAGGCTGTATGTTTATTCACATATCATAGATGGACCTGGGCATGTTCTGCATAGACTTTGCATTTACCAAAACCACGAGGGATCAAAATGCCCAACAGTTAGGCCACCTGGCCTGGGGAAAATGGCTTAGGTTATATTACTAAATAGTTATATTACTGACCTCCAATATTTGATTCGATTTATAATAACTATAAAACAGTAACATTAATTAGCTCTGTATTGCATCACATATTGGTCCTATTGGCAAAATTTATAGAGTCCAAGCATTAGGGATGTGAGAACATGCCATTAAGTGGTGTAGTGGTTAAGATGCTAAATTAGAAACAAGGAGAACATTAGTTCTGCTCCTCTCTTAGGAATGGAAGTGATCGAGATAGTCATTCTTTCTTCTACCCCAATCCATCTTGGAGGGGTTATGTTGGGGAAATTGGAGGAAGGAGCATTATGTACACCGCCTTGAGTTGGACAAAATAAAGGCAAGATATAAATGTAATAAATAATCCAGTTGCTTAATATGTGTTTATATTAAAGCACGTTTACTCATAAAGGAGTGCTTGTATAAGAAATTCCCATTTTTAATACAATGAATAATGTAGTATCACAGTAACAAATAATTTGGTCATCTGAGCATAGACAAAAAAAATGATAGATTTTTTCCCCCTGCCTAATTCTAAAAAGATACTAGAGGAAGATAAGCAACTATTCAGTTCCCCTTTGCACTTTGACTTGTAGAAATATGTGTGACAATGGAACGAAGGATAACTATTACAATTCATAAATAACAACAATAACAGTTAAGTATTTTAACTACGCAATAGATTTGTCTCAGTGATACAGGATTCTTGGGAATTTTCAATACAGGAAGTCTCTACAGTCCCTTCAGGTATGCTGGAGTTAAATTGCCATTATTGCCATCCGATGTAGCAAATATGAAAAATGTCACCCACCAACATTGGTTTAAAGGAGGGAGGGTATTTTGGCTGGCTGGTTTAGGAAAAGGGTTTAAGTAAGAGTAAGCGGCAGAATGATTAAATAGCTATTTAACAAAGTACTATTACTGTATTTACTACTTCATTGAACCCTGAGGAAAAAAACAAAATATGTAAATTGTAATTTTTAAAACAAGTCTTCTTGTTTTGCTTCTTGATACCATGGTGGAAAAGATTGGGAAGCCTTACACCCTGCTGACAAAGAAGCATCATTTACAGTAATAATCTGCCATGCAAGCACAATGCTTATAAATTGTTTACAGCCTGTTCCAAGGAAAATAATAAAAACGAATAATTTGGGAATTGTCTATCTGCTGTTAGATTATTTAAATTAATATTAGAATTCTTTCAGAGGCTCTTGTTATTCTTTACAATTTTTGAATTTGTCAGGATATTTAGAAAACAATCTTATCACTAAAAAAAATATATTGACGTTGATCTAGTAGATCTCTGCATTTCTATCCTCTGTTGAGGGTTCTGATCTAACAGACTGTTGGTTGAATAGGAAGAGCAATCCTTATTAATTCCTCCCTACTTTTGTAGCCCCCATTCTTTTTCTGCACCCAAAATGGGCTCAAAAATTGCTGGGGAGATACAGTTACAATGCTTAGATTGCTAAACGGTTAGACAATCAGTAAAGAGAGTATCTGGCTTCCAGACTGGACAGAGCAATCTGAGTAGGTCCCTGAAGGAAGGTCCTTTTGGTCAGAATAGTGTTCTTTATTTAAGTCACAATCTATACAATATGGATCAAAATTAATTACTGTTCTCAACATTTTTTTCCTTTTTGCTTTTTAAGTTATTAGCTACTTTAATTTTTTGTATTATTTTTAACTACTACAATTTATTGGATTTTTCTGCTTTTCTATTATCTTTCTTGGTCTCTCTATCCATACAGTACAAATAAACTTATTGTAATAAACTTTTAATTCTAAATGGCTTCATCGAGAAACTTATCCTTTTCTATTTGTTCAGGCATTTTAGTATTATTTTAAGTAGTTACCTCATGGTAAGATGGGCAGCCAATAAATTTTATAAATAAATAAATAAATCTTACGCATTTTGGCCTAATTTAATTGTTTTTTTTTGTTTTTTTTTAATTGAATTTTTATTTGTTTTACTGCGGTAAGTGGATGGGAACTTGCCTTTAAGAAGAATACATGATATTTACTTGTCCTTTTATATTATATATTTTTCTTCCTAGTAATTTAAATGATTACCAGAAGTACTTAAAATAGTCAAAATCACACATGATATAAACTCTAATGAAAAAAAAAACATTCTTGGATACACTGAATGTGGCAGATTTATTTTTTCATTGACAGCTGATATTAAGGAAAACGGGCTGGCTTCTATTATGAAATCTGTTTCTCTCAATAGCTGAAATCATACATGTTGCTAAACCATTGCATGATTTGTTTTTTGCTTGGCAAGCTATGTGACTTCAGCTATTGTGGTTTGTAATCCAGGGGTCCCCAACCTGTGGGCCGTGGCCCATTACCGGGCCGCGGCTGCTTGGCCATTGGGCCGTATGAAGGGATGGCCAATGCATGCGCACATTCGCGCTAGCGCTGCCCTGAACATCCTGCCGGCGCTAGCGCTGCTCGCCCTGAGCGTCTACCGGCATTAGCACCGCTCCAGGCATCCCGCTGGCACTAGTACCGCCCCACCCCAGAATGTCCCACTGGCACTAGTATCGCCCATAGCGTCCTGCCAATGCTAGCGCCTCCCAATTTGCAGCACTCGCTCCCGCACAACTCTGTTCACATATGCATATGCGCTCGCACATGGCCGTTTGTGTGTGCGCTCACGCGTGGCCCATTTGTGCGTGCACACATTGTGGTGCTTGCCTTCCCTTTCTGGGCCGCCAAACCAAAAAGGTTGGAAACCTCTGTTGTAATCCATAATTACAGATAGTTCTCAACTTACAACAGTTCAGTTAGTGACTGACTGCTTGAAGTTATAATGGCACTGGAAAAAGTTATGACTATTTTTCACAGTTACGACTATTGCAGCATCCACGTGGTCACATGATCAAAATTTGGATGCTTGGCAACTGGTTCATATTTATGATGATTGCAGTGCCCCAGGATCCCTTTCTGCGACCCTCTAACAAGCAAAGTCAGTGGGGAAGCCAGATTCACTTAACAACCATATTACTAACTTAACAACTACAGTGATTTACTTAACTGTGGCAAGAAAGTTCATAAAATGGGGCAAAATTCATTTAAGAACTGTCTTGCTTAGCAACAGAAGTTTTGAGCTCAATTATGGTCATAAGTCAAGGACTACTTATATAGTTTAGTATATGGCTAACTCAATTGATTTCAGCTGATCATGGTTAAAGCAAAATTATCACAATACATGAATCCATTGAATCTAAGATGTATGATTATATGAAGAATACCCTTGAATTAATAGGTATGACCATAAATTAAGTTGAATTTTTATATATATATCCATTAACTAGGTACATACATTATGGCATTTCTCCGTATGTGGTATTAGGGACTGTTTCATGTAAATAAGCTAGCCCATGTTTTTTTCTGACTCTTCAGTTTTCAGGGAGATTATTTGTAAATTGAAAATATAAGCCATCACATTATTTGCTTGTTTTATCTTACTTCTGTATCATGTGATTTCCCCCCAACTAATATTGGTTTGCTGCCTTTTATTATCAATTTAATTCGAGTACTTATTCTTCTGCTTCCCTACACAGGCTCTTGGGCGGGAACTGCTTCTCCATTTGATTAAATATTTGGTGGAAAGCGATCAACGTGATCCAGTCATTACAAAACTCATTAACCACACGCGGATACATATCATGCCTTCAATGAACCCTGATGGTTTTGAAGCATCAGTAATGTTTGAGTGTGCATCCACAATTGGCAGGTAAGAAAAAAGCAACCTAGAATATAGTGAGGAATGTCTTGAATATGTTTCCAACATGCTACTTAACCCACAACACATTTAGCAGAACAATTTTATAGGTTCAGTTTTTAGCTAACATATCATCAAATCAAGTTACACTTTCTTGAGCAGGAGTAGAAAATTTTAGCTAACCTGATCTTTCCCACTTACCTTTACATGTAGCAAGGAAGATTTTATTAACTCAAAAGGAGGCTGGGAGCAAGGGAGTGGTAGTTTGTGAATTTTTGCAAAGAAGTTCTAGGATTTCCTGTTATCCTGCCTTCAGTCAACAAGAATAAATATTCATCATTCCTCTTCTAATGCTTGGATCATCTTTAGATACTGCTTCAAAACCTATGTGCTCCTCTAAATTAACTAAATTAACTGTCTCTTATCAATATCTCTCATAATCATGTCCATCTTTCATTCCCAATTAGCGTAAATTTCTCTGCCGGTCTTTAACTTTCCTTTGATTAAAAAAAATCCCCCTTTTCTGTGTTCCTCTGAGACAACGGTTTCTATTACTCTTCCTCCTGGCTTACACCTTGTTTGATCTCCCTACAGGTTATCTCTTTGCTTCTTACATTTTACTTATTTTATTATCTACTCATCTTTGCTCTGTTTCCTTGGAATTGTTCTTTCCTTATCTACCTGATAACAAACCATCCTGCCTAATTATCAAGATACTTTTAGACCACCTTTCCTGGTGAAGCCAGTGCAGGTACTGTTACCATTTCCTATAATTCTGTCAGCATTAGCATAGCCTCTGTGATTCAATTCTTATGACTGAGCTCATATATTCGAAAGTATATTAAAGATTATATAATAACAATGTTATCTCTTCAAGGTACAATGCTAATAAAAAAGATCTGAACAGGAATTTTCCTGATCATTTTACCACCAATAATCAAATTATCCAGCCAGAGACTAAAGCAGTTATGAACTGGATAAATACTGGAATGTTTGTTCTTTCTGCTAATCTGCATGGTGGAGCACTGGTTGCAAGTTACCCCTTTGATAATGGCAATCTTGGTAAGCTAATGCTTGAATGACCATAAGGATACTACAATAAATAGCTCTCTCTTCTTAATTAATGAACTTATTAATAGCAAATATTATAATAAATAAAAATAAGTTAATTTTGGATTATACACACACACACACATTCAATACTTTAATTTACCTATTAACTCACCAGCACATTTATTTGTTTTTTATAGATCACCCACTTCCATAGACTTAAGGTGGTATGCAAAAAAATAAAAAAAAAATAAAAAGCATAAACATTCATTCAGCTTAACAAACTAATTTAGGCTCCATTAATCCAGTTCATGATTTATCTAATCCAGATCAATTCCAAGGCAGGGTCAGTTAGAAAACTAACATTTTATATGCATGTACATACTCATTTGCATCTAAATTATTAGAAAAGTGTGAATGTTGATATATATTTTTTAAATGTCACATTTAATGGGATTTGTCACATGAAATCCATCTTATAATAATAGCCAGTATTCTACAGGTAGCAAACCAAGCTAAATTTCCACTAAAATACAGAAGAGAGTTTTTTATTCATTCTGAACTGATAGAGGGAGAATTTACTGCAGCAGCCAACATGATAAATGTAAAAATGTGAATTGTGAAAGAAGTGACTATAAGAACAAAGCTAGTAGAAAAAAAAGAGGGAGGATCTGTTGTGACATCCTCGTTGTGGAAAACCCTTCCCACCATCACCAGGAATGCAAAAGAGTAGCATATAAATCTACAGAACTGGAAGTCTAACTTCCTGCTCAATATAGTTATCCAAATTAAAGCTTCCCTAACAAATTGCTGTTAGCTATCATCTGAATATGCATGATGAAAGACAGCTCACCATTTCCCTCAGTAATTGCTTCCCTGATTGAACTACTCTTACCATGAGTAGGTTTTTCTAAAGCAAACTTAGGAAAACATTAAACTGGAATTTTCTTTCTTGTAACTTATGAATGTTAATTCATGGCTTGCACTTTGGAACTAGAAAAATATATCTTAATATTCTCTGCACCGCTTAATTATTTTCCTTTTTTCACAGTCATACATATCCAGTCCCCTCAATCTCTTCTCATAAAACTTTGTTTCCAGTTCCTGGAGTATCCCCGTTGTGTTGTTGTTTTTTTGGGGGGGAAATCTCATACATTTTTTTTAAATGTAATGCCCAGAATTAGAAACAACACTTAAAGTAGGCTCTGACCAATGAAAAGTACAGTATTTTTAAATTTATCATCACTCAGAAACTGTTCTTCTGCAGATGCAGCTTAAAATTGTATCAATCTGATATCTGGAAAAAGTAAGTAATCCTTAACCGCATGATTAGGCTGGATGCACAGGAATATGCACTTGAGTCAAATAATGGAGATTTCCTATATCATGGCCCTGAAAGGTAACAAGAGAAGTTTTAACTAGTAAAACTCTTAAAGATCCAGTCGGTGGAGAGATCGGTGGAAAAAAGTATAGTAAATTAAAAAAAAGTCCAGGACTATGGATTATATTATTCTAGATTCAGATAAAGAATGGAGAACAAAGTTAGGAAAGCATGCCAACAAACCAGAAGTTCAAATGAGAGACTACCAAGGAATGAACTGTGTGGCCATTTCAATAAGAAATGGATAGATTCTCTGGACATTCAGGAGATAAACATTGCAGGTTCTTGTGGCTTTATCAATCAAAGGTTTTAGATAAAATTTCTCCTTCATAAGAACTCCCAAATCTTGCACCAGTGGTATAGTATTTCCCTGAATATAAGACCCGGTCTTACATTTTTTTTTGCACCCCGCACCTGCTTACTTCAGGGCCCCCGCACCCAGGCCACTCCCCGCTCAGTGATCCTCCCGCCGGATCAGTGACCCGGCTGCCCACCCGCCTCTTCCCTTTCACTCCCCTCCCGAGCAGGACAGCCATACTAAGTATAGAGGATGGGCCTTACCTGGTCCCCCTCCACTGTTTCGGAGCTGGGGGGAGTGATGGCGAAAGGCTCTGCTGCCACTGCATAACAGCCACATCTGCTGCTGGAGGGGCTTTCTTTGGTCCCCGCTGCCCCTGCTTCACCCCGCAGATCACCTGCCTGGCAGCAGCTGCTGCCTGCTCCTCCTCTGCCAACTCTCCCGTGGCTTGTGCT